CACTCTTCTGTTCCCCACCCCTCGACTTTCTGTTACTTTGCTGTTCCTAACGCCTGCCATTTGAAATAAATAAATTGTCAGCAAAATTGGAGAAAAAAATAGGTTTGGAAAATTTTCTTTTCAAGCAAACAACGAATTCTTTTCGACCAACCAATTTGACATTTAACTTCACTTGTAATAACATGGACTGTGTGACGCATTGTCTTATAAGCAGTACTAATAATGCTTTGTTCCATCTTTTAATGAGTACTGAGACAGGCCATGTCAATTATGATTATCACCCTATTTACTGGGAGAGGAACGAAATGAGGTATTATAACTTTACCGATATTACAGTAAATTAGTCGTCATTAGGTTTTAGAGATAGGATAAAAAACCGCTATTCTCACTTAAATAATTAAGGAAATAAATGATTTATTAGGATATTTGTATGATTATAATCAAATTAAAATTATAAATCTCCCGTAGGTGGAGATAATGGTGAGAAGTAAAGCAGTTCCATGCGAATACAACAGACTATACCAAAGTAAACGGGGTGCGCAATAGACTTACCTCCATGTGGTGCATCCTGGGCAACGTATACTCATACGGCAAAAAGGTCTATTAACTGGCAGTTGACTTCTCACTTCAAACAACCATGACCCCAATGTATGTTAAATTCGACTACTTAAACAGTACTCATCTCACCTTTTCTCTGCCTATGTGACTATCTTTCACTTTACATCTTCTTTCCCCCCTCTGTGAAATCCGAATTCAGCTAAAGGGCTAATGATGGCTATCAATATGCCGGCAATTTGAAATAAATAAATACTAAAGTAAACGATATTACTAGTAAATTTTCTAGATGTTAGTAAATTAGCACATTAGATTCAAGCTATTTAGATTACTAACGAAACAGATATATGGTGCAAAATAATGTTTTTAAACTATTAAATCTCTCATTCTTGACAAAGGGGGAATCCCAAGTTATGAGACATACCTGATTGTTTAAAGATGAAGGCGAATCTCGATTATTTCCGCGATACCAGGAAGAATCCTCCGTGAGTTCTGAGGGGTCTGGTGAGGTTCTAAAGAAAGGCATCGTAACGGCAAAACTTGTAGTTTTCCCCTTTGAGGCTGACACTGCACGAGTCATTGTGAGAGGCGTTGAGGTGAAACGAATTTCCTCCTCCTCTTCTTCTTCTTCTTCTTCTTCCTCCTCCTCCTCCTCTTCCTTTTCCTGTTGTTGCTGTTGAATTTGCTCTTCTAAACCCTCCTCTGATTTCTGCCTTCCTGACTGTTCAGCTGGAATAATAAGAGAGGCGATGAATGACTTCTCTAAGAGCAGTGCAAAAGCCCGCATACAGGACACGCGCGCACGTCTGATTCGTCAGATGTGTGACTCATCGCGCAGTCAAGACTTTGTGTGTGATGGCCAATCAAAGAGCCATGTGGCTCATTTATCCCATTGCTATTGGTTAACGGCATTTGTGCCTATACCCCTGACTTAAGACCATTTCTGTGGCAAAGTTGTTGATCAAAAGTAAGTTTTACAATATACTTCCGGTGTTTCCCCATTATGAAGGGGTGGAAACTAGTTTCCAATTCATCTACTAATGATAGGAGGCATTTCGATGTCTTCTTCAAATAATGGTAAAAACAGACTGACTAAGCACGTCAAATATTTCCTTCAACAAAGAGTTAAAAAATGAATTCATGTTAAAACAATATCAATATTTTATTAATAGTAGCTGAGATTTTAAATAACAGAAATAAATAAATAATTATGAAAGCTATTTTTGTAAAAAATTTTTGAGAAAGGGAGAGGAGCAACTCACTTTCTTCTTTTCTCGCTTAGGAAATGCTGCGAAACTTCGTGCAAGTAAATGCATTACGCAATTGATCTACATGCAACTGCGAAGTAACTGTTAACAAATCATTGAAAATTATGCAATCATTGCAGAGAATGCGTAGAAACAACGCCTAAGAATTAAAAGAACACCCTAATCCATTGAGATGTGCTTTCCGTAGTCATTTAATCAGATATAATGTTCACCAAAAAATTGCGCCAACTACCGAATTCCAATTAACAACATCTTAACATCAGCTCCTATTTCACTACCGATTTTGTTTAAAGTGCAAGCGAAAAATCGATTGACAATAATCCCAAAGTAAAAAATAGGGCTAGTGAACTATCACTCAAGAAATAACGGGAAAATATCCTAAAGGTTAAGCTCCAAAATGTTAGGTCACGATACACCAACCCCTACTTATTAAACTCGATGGAGAAAACAGGCGTATCCACAATGTTGAATAAACTTTCAATGTTTTGATTTGCATTTTAGCTTACTTAGCCTAATTGGGGTCGATTCTACCTGTTTTCTGTTTGTAAATGAATTTCATGTCCTAAAACACCACCCCTTTCCCAAACAGTCTTGGTGACCAATATCTTGACTGGGAAATCGATTTCTATAAGGAAATCATTTTGCCAACTTTAAACTATGTTGATACTTCAGGAAGGACACTTTTATGTGAATTGACCTTTGATTACTGCTGTAACTTGCCTTCCAAATTAGCCTTGTTAAAGTGCACGAGAAAATAGCATTTGGACAAATGTAAAGTACATAAAATCACGAATGAAAAAAACACCTTTTAATCAGCCGGCCAGATGAACTTCACGTACTTCAAATTATTTTGAATTTAAATATGGAAATATACAATTGATCATGTGGTTTGAAGTCGCGTAGAGTATTAACTAAGCGATTTCTCCGTTTTTTTCCTAACGTTAATAAACTTTTTGAATTGAAAACGGGAAATCTATTATACTTAAATATAATTAGTAACAAGACACCAGAGTAATTACTCAAATTCAAAGCCTCAGATCGATGTAGATATGAAAAAATGCATAGTTCGAATGAATTCGAAATATGGAAACAGTGCAATCTTATGGGGGAAAAATAAAATGTTGTCCTATCTCACTAAAACCGAAAAAACCTTTTAGCCTAAAATACCTGTTAATTAAAGTACATAACCAATTAGAAGGTGATAGATAAACTAGTAGACTAAAATCAAATTGGAATCGAACTGCCTGAACCGAAAAAAACGCGGCTGGCCCACATTACAGTCGTTCGACTATGAGGATTTTGAGATTGTAACAACCTTTGTGCTTGCATTACTGGATCATTCCACCCCAGAATAATGGTTGACGTGAGGGTTGGTGGGGGGAGGGGGGTTTTGGTAAACTACTTCTCCAATAATGAGTCATGGAGACCAGGTTGGGATTTAGTTTGCTAACCTATTTACACAAAACTTGACGTGTACACACAGGGGGCAGTCTGATTCATTTTGGACGCTTTGACAACAAATTGAGACAAACAAACCGCTTTAAATTTCGTGAGTCATTTGCGACCAAATTTCTATTCACTGTACTCCATTAAAACGCCTTAGAAAAATACAAATGCAATAAACAATTCGATTACTTGGCATTCGAAAAGCCCACCATGGGCAAATATTATAATGAAAGAGATCTCCTTTTAAATAATTCTGATTGTTTAACTGGTGTATTTCATCGACATTTGTGGGTCTTTATTATTCTTTGTCAATTATAATCATTATTAATAATTAATTATTGTAATAATATTTCATATGCTAATGAATCACCTTCCAGATAATAAAGGAAGTAATGATATGACTTTCAAACAGTTGGCTATTAAAATGTGTTGTGGTTTCATTAAATATGGATGAATGTCGATTGGAATACAACTCAGCATTTTGATTGGTCTAAAGTGGCGGAGACACAAATTGGCTGTAAAGTCCGATTCCTCCTATGGCTTTCACTTACATCCTCTTAAAATCGAATAGTTATTTGGTATATTTTACTCTGCAAGGAATGGCTTTGTTGGTATCATGCGTATTGAAGTGCGTTTGAGTGGAATATGAGCTTGGAAAAAGCAAATGGAAATTCTTGCATGTTTACTAAGCATTAGGGAAGAGATAGTCTTAATTATTAGTGACTAGCGTCCAAAGAAACTACAAAACGAACCAATTAGAAAAATTCTCCCCCCCCCCAAATAAATTACCTTTATCTTGCCTTTGTCTAATCGTATTTACAATAGAATGGAATCATCCTTGCAGTACGTGAGAATAAGCAACTGATAACTTCAGCAGGGAAACTTTTTGTAGCCGAAATCAATTAATTAATTAATAATTTTTAAAAATTCATTTTACTTGAAAACTGGAAAAGTGAAATAGATAGATAGATAGATAGATAGAGAAAGAATTCTTTGGAAATAATTAAACTTGCTCAATGCCTGGACCGGGGTTTGAATTACATTAGTGTTTTGGGAAGTCTAAACGACCAATGTGGGTCATCCAAAAGTCATGACGGAACTAAATATGCCCAGGTCACTTCAGAGAGGGAGAGAGAGAGAGAGGTCGGACAAGTTTTAAGGCCCAAGCGACATCAGGTCAAGGGACAAATTAAAGTCATTGCAAATCAAGACGACTTGGGCAAAAAAATTTACGCATTTTTAAAATATGGGCCTTTTGTGGCTAATGTTCGAATCATAACTAAATATAGCACAGCCTGTATACTGATTACACTTAATTCATTGCTAGATCAACTTATAAAGAACCAAAGGGAACAAATTCCTTAAATCCCCTAATAAACGTCATATATATATATATATATATATATATATATATTATTTATATTATATTTGTAAATTCGGGACCTTAAGGGTAAGAATAAGGCTCTAGATTGTTGACCACTCAAGTGGTTTCCAGTTATAAAACATTTGAGAAGGGAATTGAGTTAGATTAAGAAATAGTAAACATTTGGCTGATTCACTAATTTAATAAGCTACTAATTAAGATGGAAATGATAAAACACGATTTGTAATGTTATTGGTCCTATTGGCTAAAAGAAAGGTTCCAAGGTCATTAAAATTTTTTGACCGAAAATAGACAATTATATTTGTGAGTCACACAATTTCTGCCTATTCCTTCCATACTTCTTATCGAAACCAACTTCTAATCATCTGCAAATTTTTTCACACTTCATTCTCATATATATGACAGCTTTTGGTGACTAACATTCTCGACACTAGTCGAAAAAAAATACCGTCTGAAAGCCTAAGCAGCAGATGATTAATTCTGCCAATTTGGATTAAAATGAAGCATTAATTTGCCTTAATTCAAGCTCGAAATAGTGTCAAGTACCGCAAATGACTAACCGGATAACATTGATAAGGAAATGGTTATTGAGATCGAAAAAAAGATGTGTCCTTTCATGTAGTGTCTAGTGCGAACTTCCCGTACCAACTAATTGACTGAGTTAAACTAACGCAAAATGGTATTTGGAATAAAGATGTAAATATAACTAAATAAATAGACCAGCATTATTTAAAATATTGCAAATGTTACTTACAATACCCATCTGACGTGTCGGGGTTGCTTTCCAGCTCGGCGTCATCGATTTTTCCATTGCTCAAAGTGTTTCCTTGATATGCAGAAGACTAAATCACAAAAAAATAGATAAAAAAGGCATTTTAACTTTTCTTATCTATATTTTGGACTGTTACTGGAAAAAATCACTATTTAGTAGGAAACAGGAAATATCATATTGCATTTTACCAAATTGTTTAAAACCTTTCACACCCCAAATATTTTTTTTTGAAAAATGTGCCCAATCGCATTCACGCGTGTCTCACAGCAGATAGATGTCATCGATATGATGAGTTTTGGTGTTATTGGACGAAGGCTCTAGACGCATTGAATATGTTTCGTGTCTAGTACTAATGGAGCTTATTTTGAATAGGATCGTACAGTTCTAAGGGCGTTATAGGATTAAGCCAGATTTTAGTGAGTGCATAGTAGATGCTAGCGTATTTACTTGCCTGAGTGTGATAGGAGTGCGGATTCGTCCCAAGTTCGCCAGATTTTACTCTCCAAGGCTCCACGTACCCATCCATCTCGTTTTCCTCGACCCTCGGAAGACAATTCGTTTCAGATCTCGAAGGAATAGGATTATAATGGTTTGGCGGAGCACTGGAGACTCGAAAATAACGACATTTGCCGAGGTAGGGACTTTCGAGGGAAAAACCATTAGCTCTAGCCTAAAATGTGGACATAAAAAATACTACCAGTCATGGAAATAAGTAGCTGCCTACGAAACACACTCTCTAACAGACCATCTTTCAACCAGATCAGTCAGCGTTATCTTTGCTTTATATTGTGTTCTTCAATCTTTACTTACAATGCTATTTATCATTTATTTTATAAAAGAACTTTGATGTTTACCCAAGTCATGTGTTTTGGGAGAACTTTTAGTCTCATTTAGCGGACAGAGGAAGTCACTTTCCCTACATCTGATAATTAAGGATGAAGATATCAGCTGAGTGTTATTTGGGAATAACGTGATTTATGGAATTAATTGTGTATATAACTCTCCTACCCATAATCTCATAGTCTCGTAACTTGCTCCACAATTCATATTATTTTACCTAATCGGTGGGCTTTCAGCATACAACTTTAAGGTAAGCTACTTAGTCCATGCAAGTGAGCGGATGTTTGTGACAGTTTTTTGTTTAGGTTATCTCGTTCATACACCTACCTGTCACACTTTCGAGTAAAATACAACCATTTTTTTCGATGCAATTAGTTAGAATAAAATGCTTGAGTGTTTCTCAAATACCTTTTCTATCTACTATCACACAATAAAACCATCTAGGGTATTTTTAGAAGCAGGCTGAAGAGAAGTCAGGTAGTCCATTAGAGACTTGTTTCCCATTTTCACGCTATAAAAACTTACTAGGCCATTCAAGATAGATTAAGCTAGCTATTTCCCAATCAATGTCCCAGTTTCACTTAACATAAGGTAGGCAACAACGAAGAGGTATATATATTTGTACTCAAATCGTTGAAAATTAAATAAGCTTTGAATCAGATCTACACTTAGAACCTATATAATAGGAAAAAAAATCGATAAGCAACTTAAGACAGACAGAAAACTTCTCCAATGCCATAATAGCACTCTATTAACTCACTTCTTGAAAATCGATAGAGCCTCCTAAACACCAATTATTGAGTAGGGATTATGGTCCAACAATTTTCATTTAGATCGTTTAAAATCAGAAGAATTTGAAGATAGATGGAACAAGGTCAAATGACTGACAACTTCTCCCCTATGAAGTCACCAATAACCTTTTGTAATTTATGAATACTTTAAGCCCTTTATCGTCTGTTCAATTGATGGTTACTTGTTTGGCCAAGACTCGTTAGTCAATGAGGAAATGTAGTCCATTTTTAATCAGCAATCATTGACCTGAATTTAAGTTTGTTCTGAGTGTGCCTTTATACTTCTAGCGATGTTCAAATGGTACTATTAAATATTGCCCCTGAAACACCCATTCCATGAATTCACGGTTGTTATAAACTTTGTTAGCTAAGGGAAGTAACATGCCGTTGCAAAAGCCTTTTCGATTATTTGGGTTAAATACATCTTATCATTTCATCGGTATTGCAGAGATCCCCTGATTGGTCAGCCAATAAGAAAACGTAAACTCAAATTCGGAGTATGGACTGACAGATACAAGAACTCAAATGAAAGATGATTTAGAATAGTTTGACTAAGTGAGAGGCTAGTGAAAGAGTCGGTATCTCTATTGAATGGATTGAAATAGTAGAGGCTATAGTGTTCAATTCCAATAGTTTTAATTGCTTCCCGCAAAATACTATTTAACAGAGGACTAGCACTCTGGACTCGATGAGATTAGTCATTCACTTTCCTCATTCTTTCTACCGCACCCCCCACCCCCCACCCCCTACCCCCATTAACCTCATGTAGACCAAATTGTCATGAACTCAATAGGCCAACAACTTTATTAGCAAAATCAGACATGAGGGAAGTAGTGAATAGCTTGTTTTTATGTTAGTAAAATCAGTTCAAGGCTACCAGCAACTTTTTGCTAAATAATGGTAACACTAGTTGAGCTTAAAAATGTGTTATTGATTTCGGAATATGATTTCATCAAACATAGTTGCGTCGAACCACCCTATGAATCGAATTTCTCTAAATTAGAAATAGTACCCTAGAGAATTTCATAATACGGTCTTCCAACAATAATCCTCATAAATTGTTATTTAATCATAAATTGTAACAAATTATTAAATGGTCCACCTAATCAAAACCGTAAGCTGAGGTGTCGATCAAGCTATCTCGAAAAAGAGCACTTAGAATCTTTAAGTCAAAAGAACCCTCCAGATTTTTACGGTCGAGGAAAATGAATGGAAAGAGTTTCGAGTTTCGAACCATGTTGATACGCCGAGTTCCATGTTTGGTTAGAATTTAATTCAACGAAATACATTTCAGTAAGGACACGTTAAACAGGATCAACGATAATCAACTAATGTTAACTGAGTGAATGAGCTGACGAGATTTCAATCTTTTTGATGTCATTTTTTCTCCCACCACCTCTATGCATACTCGTGCACAGATAAAAATGTCACACGCACACACACACACACAAAGTGTTTTAGTCTGTCCGGGGTAGCTATTTACACGAATAAACACACGAACAACATGTTCGGCCGCTCGTCCGTTCTCTCGTTTGGCAGGCCAAAACTGAACAAAAACTCGCAATCATGCACATCCGACAACTATTACAGCGCGAAGGGGAGCTATTGATCCATAATAAGCGCGCTACTGCCCCATGGCCTTGGGGATGGCCAATCACAATGACTGCAAGCTTGATCTCGATTCACTAGCTGCACGTGGGAGGGAAGAGTGAAGCTTTGTAGTGCTTTCTGAGGTTATTTTTTATTTTAACAAAGACGCTCCCCGAAATAGATGGGAACTCTTATTCCCACAGGGGTTGCAGCACAAATTTAATGGCAGGACAATGTCGGTATTTAATCCAACTCCCTACTGTCGATGTTTGGGTGTTCACACTTGGTGCTTAGTTAGCTTGAAATAAGTCGCTTAAGCCTCAATATTAACTCAACTCCTGTCAGTAAAATTAGGGAGCAACCTTTTTTCTTTCCATTCCATCTTGGAAAATGAATTTAGCCTTTTCAAAATTTGGACAACTCAATCTACCAGAATGAATTGAATTAAGACTCATATTTGATATGCGATCTCTAATTGAAAACCTGCCAAGGTTTCGAATAATTACACCACCTCCCACCTACCCCCCCCCCCCCCCCCCCCCCCCCCCCCACCGCCTTTGCCCACCTACTAACCAATAATAATTATTTATATAATGAAGATAGAATGGAATTGCAGACCTTTAGGCCTTGGCAAAAAATGTGCAATCTAGTTCCCATGGCACACGAACATTCTGTAAACGTGTGTCAACCAACCAATTTGATTGGAAGTCCTAAAAACCACCTATCCAATGACCATGTCAGTGTGTGCATCCCATAACATTACATCTATTGGGTGCTCTTCCGTTTTTTTTCGTCTGAAGAAGAACAAGACCTATGAGTGAAATTAAGAGCTTCAAATTGAAAGAGCTGTGCATGTGTTTAACAAATCGCGAACTAGTCCAAAACTCACTTTTAATCCTTTTCAGGTCACAGTTTTGAACATAAACCAGATTAAAAGGCTGACCTTTGTGAAACTCTGTTAAGACAAATAATCCAAATCGCGCCCCATTTGAGATTTTCGGCTAAGTCAGTGATTTCCTGGGAAATTGAATGCATCAAGTTTGATTTCAAGGTAAGATTTAGCTTTCTTTGGATCTTCAATTCTTGAATTTCCTAATATTTGTATTGCCTATACTCTAAAAATTATATATATATATATATATATATATATATATATATATATATATATATATATATATATATATAATCGGTTGTCATCGAAATTCATTTTTGGTTGCTGAGGGGCTGAAAAGTCTTCTACCGCTTAGAGGGACTGTGAAACTCAAAATATGTGATGAATGTTAAGCGGAATAGGTGCCTTTCCAGCCTTATAATAAATTTTTTCAAGACGTCAATTTGACGTAGCAATGCCATTTTTCAAAGTCGTTGGAAATGCCAACTTCGAAGTGCTGAAATTCTACTTAGAGCAGGTGCACTGAGAAAACACGTGTCCGTTTACACAAAGCAAGTTAGGACACGCAAGGGCTTACACACGTACGAGAGAGCGCCAAATTGACCAATCAGTTTCATCCCCATGTATTTAGCGCAGTCGCGCTTTCTGTCGCTCTCTCTCTCCTCCTCTTTCTACACGAAGACAAGAAAAAAATTTAATTAAGTCGAAAAGTACAGACGGCCTAAAAAGCCTGGGTGGTCAGGTGGGAAGATAAACCCACCGATCGAATCCCCTGGAGAAAAATTTTATATCCCCCCACCCTCCCGAAATTCGCATCTTCGCAGATTTGTTTTAAACTACTGGATATTTTTATTGGCCTAAGAAGAGAATCAATCTCCTATTTCCTTTCAACTTTCTTAACTAAATTAATCTGGCAACGATAAATAAGGACCATCACTCAATAGGAAGTTATCATTGAACAGATTCGAAGTTAAACGAACTTTTATTGAAAGCTTAAAAGATTTTATTTATTTCAAATGCCAGGCGTTTTGATAGTTATCATTAGGCCTTAGCTGACTTCAAACTTCACAGAGGGGAGAAACATCAAAGTGAGAAAAATTCAAGAGGGGAACCGAAGAGTGATTTGCTGATGTAAAAAAGACTGACACAATGATAGAGAGTAGGGCAAGGTGAGTACTGTAGAAGTGGTCGAATATGACATAGAGTGGGATGATGGTAGTTTGAAGTGAGAAGTTAACTGCGGGTTAATAGACTTCTTTGTCGTATGAGTATACGGTGCCCAGGGTGCACCACGTGGAGGTAAGTCTATCGCACGCCCCTAAAGCATAATAGATACTTTCTCCGTAGTTACAAATCAAAATTTGGCCAAGTTGATGTGTACCACGTGTGTGATGAATCAGTTAATACGATAGAAACTGTGAAATTGTGTCCGAATAAAACAAACGCTTTTTAGACGCATGATTTATGATGAAAATCACATTCTTCAACCTTGACATTGGTCGTTTTAACATCCATGAGTCATGTCGTGAAATATGATTCATACAAGTGTCTGCTAAAAAGGTTGTTAAAGGAAAGCGAAACCCTGTAAACGATATCCTTTCGACTATATAGAAAGGTACTTTCGCAATGTTGACATTTACTTCATTTGGAGAATACTATTTTGAAAGCGATAACATATTGTTCTGATATTTACACGAAGATACTGAAACTCGCTACTCTCTCTTCAAGTACTTTTCTGCAAAATCTATGCAGTCACTTTTTCAATTTCTGAAATGTTTATTATCTTCATAATTAACCAGATAGTACTATATTATCTTCAATATGACTGCCTCGATTGAGTTCATTTTGACCTACTCGAAACCTCCGCACACACAAGTGGCCGCAAATCTGGAACAGTGTTTACATATGAATAAGAAGAAAACAAGGTATAATAAATAAAAAGTACATTAGGAGGAAGGGACGCTTAATTTGACAGGTTCAAGGTCAATGTTTCTCGCCTCCCCTCGCCTCCCCTCCCCCCTCCCCTCCCCTCCCCCCT